TCTTTCCCTCAGCTTCCCGCTTATCAGTTTGCGTTTCTAGTGATCAGAGAATGTTTTTTCTTCCTTACATCTTCAGAAGTTGAAGAGCACAAATTAATTACTTGCTGAACAGGGAATTAGGGCTCAGAGAAGCTCATCCTGCAGCTGCCCAACACAGGCTGCACAGGCAGCTCCCTGCAGCACTAGTTACATATAGGGCTGGGACCCAAAGACAAACGGGAGCAAAACCACAAGGGCCATCTCGGGCGACGCCGGTGACAGCACAGCGCTCTGCTTTGCTCACGTTTTATTTTCTGTTTCATGGTTTCTCAAGCTAACGCCCCTCAGCGAAACGAAACGCCGCCCCATGGGCTTGCAGGGAGGGTTTCCCTCTGCATTGGGGTCATTGGAAGCCCCTGCCCTGCGTTTTGGCCATCCCGACGCCCCTGTGCGCGAAGGGCCCCGCTCCAGAGGCCGCGGATGGAGGAGCGAAGCTGAGGAACATCTTGGCGGCCCGCGGGGACTCACCCAGGGCTGCTGCCCCGCGGCTCCGCGGTCCCCGAGCGCCCCGGGAGCGCCGCACCGCGCACAGGGCCTTGCCCTTCCACTCACACACGTTATTCTTCAAGAACAGCGTTATTTGAATTAATGAGGAAGAACGTGCGAGCGGGGAGTGAGAGTTTTCTCTTGGCATCCGACTCAAACCCGCGAACAGCTTCTCACAGGCACTATTTTTACACTCCGCATCAATCTGCTAGAGAAAGGTTCCTTCTGTTGCCCGCAAATGTGCAAACTCCCCCTCTGAAGCAGCACGATCCAGGGCAGCGGGACCCAGCCCTGCACTTGCAGCCTCATGGCAAGCCAGTATTCCTCAACCTAAGTATCTCACAACCACGACGTCCCCGGAGAGCCCCTATCCGTGAATCCCGCCCTTGCACCCAAGGATACCCCCTGGATACCAAGATCCTCCCAACCCTGTATGTTCTTTCCGCTCCCATCCGAGCGCCGCGCAGCGAGGCGGCCGGACGCGGCTGCCAGGGAAGCAGCGCTGCTGTAAAGGGACTGGAAACCAAGTGCAGGAACTGCAGAGACGCTGCCTGCGACCCGAGCAGCGGGGCGAAACCATCGTGTGCTGGGTTATCAGCAGTTCCTGTTTGAACACATTGCTGGAGCTCAAGCTTTCTGGGAGAAAACACAAGCCAGGAGGCTCCACAATGGGCGCAGATAAGCAACCTCCCAACAAAGCCCTGGGCGGCTGCAAGACAACGGGAAAACCTATTAGCTGCAAGCATCCCATATCCTGGGGAAAAGTTATTAGCTGCAAGCATCCTATATCCTGGGGAAAAGTTATTAGCTGCAAGCATCCTATATCCTGGGGAAAAGTTATTAGCTGCAAGCATCCCATATCCTGTCTGCACTGCAGAAACACACATGTCCTCCTAAGGCAGGGTGGGAAGAGATGCAAAGAGCACTAGGCAGCTCTAAGGCCCTCATCGTGAGAGGGGACAGGGAGGACGGTCACAAGAAATAGTGCAGGAGACGTCCGTGGGATGGAAGCCTCTTGGAAGGAGGTCTGGGAATGCAAAGGTGTTAACGGAGGGGCCTGATTATATGAGAGCCTTAACACTTAATTCTGTGCCGAATGGGGAGGGTCCGATGACCAACCCCGTGGGGCTGGCGGCGACGTGGCAAAGCTACGGTCAGAGCGTGGTCAACTGGAGCAGCTCAGAACACCCCTCCTGCGGGAGGCCGGAGCACGAGCCCCTCCGCGCCAGGGCGAGCGGGGCCGGGCGAGCCCGGCTCCCTGCCCGAACACAGGGCTATTGTTGGCGCCGTTAGTCACCGGGCCGGTTATCGCCACGGGCAGCTCCGGCGCCCGCCCTGCGATCCGGCCACCGCGGCCGCTCCTGCCCGCGGAGGGGAGAGGTGGCAGCGGGAGCTGCACCTGCCGCGGGGAGCAGCCCAGAACCCTGGATCATCTCCGACACCTGCAGAACCGGGGGCTCATCCCCGACACGGCTCTCAAGCCCCGCGCTGCCTTGAGAAGCTCCCCAGAACCACCACGGGTCTGAGGAAGGGCTTCATGATCCACCTTCTTGAGCAACAGGGTATCAAACATCCCCCGCCACCTCCTGCCTGCACGCTCTGCAGTGCCTGCTCTCTCCTCCCCGCATACATCTGCAGGGCAGAGCTGTCAGCCCTCCAAAAGCTGTCCAAAGCCTGGAAAAATCCAGAAAACCTCCTCCCATGCCAGTTCAGGTCACTTAGCTACTGCCCAGGGGGTTCTTGCTACCGTGTCAAGAGGCAACTGCAATGTAAACATTATTTACCAGCCACCTGCATAGGAAGCATGTCGAGCTGCAAAACATCACCCAGCTCCTTCGGTAGTTTTTGCTTTCCCACCACGGTGCTCCCCAAAACGTTCCTCCCTGTTTGGCAGGAGGAAACGTGTGCGAATCGAAGCGAGGCAACACGTGGGCCCTGCACATCTCATGTCCAGCCCGGAGAGCCCGAGCACGCCGCGAAGCTCCCCTCAATACAGCAGACAGGGACCAGCTGCCACCAGCTCCTGCTGCTGACACTGCAATTGCAGCTCCCGAATAACCCCGAGCTCGGGGACGGCGCAGGGGCCACCTGGCTGCAGTTTGCAGCTTTCTGAGCGACTCCTCCGAGGCACCACGCTACCCCACGTGGTGCTTTAGCAATCGTCTGGGAGCTGGAAGGAGAGCTAGAAAATGTAAACATATTAATCTCTTCATTCAGAATATCTGTGCTGCCACTGGCTACAATTCAAAGTTTCAAGGGCACAAAGAACATGACTTCTTTTTTCCCCTCTGATAAAAATATTTTTGTCTCTCACTGTCAGCAGGCCAGCAACGCAAATGAACATTTGAAAGTCACTGTATAACTAAGGAGTCATTGCGTATGCTCAGATTAACAAGAGCAAAACTGAATGCAAATAGGAAGCCTGAACTTCCTGCTAAAAGGGAACAAAAAAGTGCAAATATGAAGAAGTCACAAACGGTAGTAAAATGGGTAAATGCACAGCAGACCAGATCCAGTCCTGATACGAACCAGTCACTGCACCCATAAAAATAAATCCAAGGCTTTGCAATTTAAGCTCAAGAGAGAACCTTTAGGCTTGTAAGATTCAGATTCCTTCTGCAAACTCAAGCTGTTAACCCTAACCTCACTTGCATCCTGCAAAATCAGCTAGACAGGGATGACCAGCAGCAGCAAAGCTCAGCTCTAACACGGGCAGGATGAGCAGCAATCCTGGTTTCAAATCCCTTCGGAATGCCTTTCCCAACGCCCATTTCCCTGTGAGCGCTGCTCCAGATATTTTGGCTGTTCCTCGCACGCAGTACGGTGCTGCAGCGCATCTGCAACTCCGTCTCCAGGAAATACACATCGAGCTGATTCATTATCTTAAAATGCTGCCTTTATTCCTGCTCCTTAAAAGCACATTTCAGAGCTCTGCGCCGAACGCACAGCCAAATTAAAGCACACGGTTTCAGTTCTCTGCTCAGTCATTCCAGTTTCATTTACTGCCCACAACACAAATTCTCCATTTCAGGACAGCCGTATCAGACCTGAGCCACAAGCAGAAAACGCCCCGGGTTAAAAAAAAAAAAAAAAAAAAAAAAAAAACACCCTTTACTTTCTCCCTCCCTTGATGTCCAGCACTTCATGCAATCACCTTGGCCTTGAACTTGGCCAAAATTGAATTGTGATCGAATATTGTACCCCCTGCCCCTCTTATTCCTAATACCGCGGACATCCCCGATAAGAAAATGCCGAAAACTCGCAGCTTGTGCATGCAGCCGAACGCGGGCACCGCGGCTCCCGGGTACCCTGCAATTCCCAGGGCCGCATCCCACCCGGCAGCACCGTCCCCGCAGGAGGGGACCCGCGCACCGAGCGAGCGCGGGGACGCCCGCGTTAGACCGTCCTCACCTTTAGGGAGTCAAAGCAGGCGATAACTCGACCGTTTTCCACGTGGCAACTCCGGGACGGGTGGGCGAACTTGCACTCTGCATCGGAGCGAGAACAAGTCCCTCTCTGAAACTCCCGACACACTTCCAACGTCAGCCATTTCGTATCGCGGACCAAGGAAACGTTTACAGCCATATTAAAAACAAAAATTAAAATGCAGGCAATCGCACCCTTCTTCAGGGCGATATTTACTGCTCTTTTTCTTTAAAAAAAGGGTAAAAAAGTGAATTCAAGTTAAACGTGAAGAAATAACTAACTTGTTGCTTTGGTAAAACTCCTATTCATCAGCACTTAGGTTTTCATTTAAGTCAAATTGTGGTTGTTTAAACAAGGATTAAACATAAAGCCAATCATAAAATAGAAATCTTATCAGAACAACTGAAAATCAAATTAGAGGCCAGCTCCTAAAAGTGCAATTGTAGAAGTTAAAATATAAGTGTTATATTTTGTGCCACTGCCTAAGTTACTTGAAAATAACTGGCAGACTTTCAAAAGAATTCTGTGCTCTCCAGTTAATGGTTTCAATTATTCTTGCAAAAAGCATATGCTGCTGGCAGCACTTCAGTTTGTGGAATGGTCTCGGTCCTCGGGGAGAAAACTTCTTTTTTTTTTTTCCTCCTATTTCTTGCTTCTAAAAATCACGGTTCACCAGCATTAAAAGGAGCAAAAGGATGTCAGAATTTTTCTTTTCGCTTTTTCTCTTTTTTTTTTCTCTTTTTCCTCCTCTTGCTTTTTAATAGGTGCTACATACTCGGGGGAAGGGGGAAAAAAATGGCTGAGCAAACTGCGTGTAAACAGGGACGATAGCAAAAAAAAAAAGGGGGAAAAAAAGAAGGGACAAGTTGCCGTCAGTCCGAGCCGCAAGCAACGCCAAATTAAAAAGAAACGGGGCGCCGAGCGGGGGGAGGAGAGAGAGGCAGCCCTAGACAGAGATCCAAGCAGCGGTGGCTTCAGGAAAGGCACTTTTCAGCAACCTGCGGGAAAAAGAGAGACAGAGTGAGCTCGGAACGGCTTGGAACGGCTTGGAACGGCTCGGAACGGCGCGGAGCGGAGCGGCGGCCCCGGCGCTGACAGGGCGGCGGGCGCCGTCAG